ACAGGCAATGCAAAACAGATTTTAGAAATTAAATTATTCAGACTAACACTAAATTTCAGATATAACAGAATTTATTATGGAAACACCTAAAAATTTTGACTTACAGAAACTAACAGGGAATGAATACAAACATTACAACAATATAAAAACATTAGTACCCGTAGCTCCAAATTCATCAATAATTTCTATAAAAAATTTCTAAATCTTACAGAAGCTAAATTTCGGATTAAAAAAATTACATATCGCAACAACTATTTAGATTGTATTACAAAATACTCTTGTATAATGTATGATTAAGGCTTTAATATTAATTTTTTAATGCAACTGAAGTGATTTTAATTAAATCCATTTTTATCAGTCACTTTAAAAATATGATGAGTATTTGTATAAAGATAATTAAAATTTCAAACAATAATATTAGCTTTACTTGTTGTTGTTTTTTTAGGTGAATCAATTGCAATTGATATCAATTGCAATTGATCATGATGGAATTGATATCAATTGCAATCAATTGATATCAATTGCAACCCATCATGATGGAATATCTTTAAAATGCTTAGGTAATCAAAATAATTTTTAATTATTCAGGAATTTTAAGAATTAAATTATTTAGCAAAAAAATTGTTTGATGATGAATTCAATTTAAATTTAAAAAAAAATTTAATATTAGTTCTCGCATAATTAATATCAGTTCTCTTATCTATTAAAATTTAGAATATTTTCCAACAATTTTGTGACCTCCATGAATATGAAGGGAAAAGGTGGAAATATGCTTTAAAAACACTAGTTTATATGGTGTAGTGAAAGGTATACCTTTATAAGATATTTAAAACTTTTTTATTCCCATTTTTTATGGATTCAAAAATTTCTCCTTATTTTTTTTTTTTTTTTTATAATTCTTTTTTATTAACAGCTTCTTCTATTAAATACGATGGAGCGACTGAAACTTTAATTGATGGCAATTTGTCTAACTTCTAAAAGTGCGCTTCATTTCGAAAAGGTGGTGGAAAAGGAAAAAATTTAGATTGGTATAAATTTATATTTATAAAAATCAATCTAAAATTTCTTTATTGAAATATTTACATATATTTCAATAAAGCAATATTTTCTTTTTGTCTGCTAATATTTTTTTCTTCAGTGTTAATTCAACATTACAAATTAAAAGTTTAATTAGGCCTGTTAGTACACTTATATTATGGTTTCTTCATTTTATATTAGTTCATGTAATTTATTCAAAATCGAATATGCGGAAAGGAGCTGTTTGGAATGAAGATTTACAAGAAGAAGTAATTCCATCTAATTGGATTAGTGATAAAACTGTTTGTCGGCTTCCAGGTACCAAAGCATTGACTGCACTAAAATTCAGGGAAGAATTGGCTTAAGTTTATACAAATAAAAACTAAATTCTCTTCAGGTATTACATCTATATATTACAATTATTATTTTTTAAATAATATGGTAAGAAGAGTTATTTTGTTGATACAAAATGTATAACTATTTTGTATCAACAAAATAACTTTTTATGTATATTACAACCTTTTTTTTTAAAAAGTATTTTTTTTAATTACTAGTCATATTCTTTTTTAAAGCCTTCAAACATTCGATCCCATTAAAAATTGATGCGTCTCTCGTGAGGCAAATTTAACAATAATCTAATCAGCAGAAAAATCTAGGCTTCTGATATTATACCATATATGACACGACATATTTCAGATTAAATTTCTTCAAATATACATATCTTCTATACAATATTGCCGAACTTAATAGTTTTAGTAGTAGTAGTAGTAGTAGTAGTAGTAGTAGTAGTAGTAGTAGTAGTAGTAGTAGTAGTAGTAGTAGTAGTAGTAGTAGTAGTAGTAGTAGTAGTAGTAGTAGTAGTAGTAGTAGTAGTAGTAGTAGTAGTAGTAGTAGTAGTAGTAGTAGTATACCCTTGGAGCGTATTTGACACGAAACCCTTGGCAGCCATTGCAACCGAGGTATTGGCACGAAAGAGTCGCAGCACTATAAGAAAACGTGAACGAATATCTAACGTACGTAAACTTTAAACCAAGTAATGTTAAAGCATATGTTCAAACATACTGAAACATTTATCATGTTTTACAGTGTGATTTTCACTTGATAACTACATTGCGTCAAGCTCTCCATAATTTTGATCTATAACATTTTTTTCCTCAAAAAAAATACTACATTATTATAAAATCTACACAATACAATATGCCGGTGTAGCTCGAGTCAATAAGGCGCCGAACTTCTGTTCAAGAAACTATTCCTGCCAATGGCGGCTACTTTTTAAATTTTTTTAAATTATTTTAATACTTTCGAAGTTTTATAAAGATTATATACAAACATATATAACGTAACAATATTAAGCACTCACAAAAGAAAAGATTTTAAGAAAGCTAAAAACAAAAACATCACCGGGAGAAAAAAATTGTTGCGTATGTACGATGATTGAGAACCTATGTTATTATTGTGCTCAGGTAATTAGTCCTAATAAGCTGCGGATGGTCTGAAATAAAAGTTGTCTGAAACTTAATAAAGAAAAAACTATATTAAATTAATAAGAAAATCAAGAAGGTGCTGCTGTGGAGGCAAAAAAAAAAAAACCGTAGCTAGAAAAAAAATAAAACTTTCTTTTGATAATCAAAAGCTTTTTTATTTTTTTACTATAAATATATGCAGCAGAACGCCTTAATATGCTTATTACGTATTTCGAGAAAAACGCAATTGAAAAAAAAGTTATTTAAAATTAACTCTTTGTTAAACGTTTTTTGAAACGAATAATTTTAATGAATTTTTTCAGAAATCTTTGAAAATATGTATTCAATAATGTTTGTAGACATAAAAACTAGCTTATTTTGTAAAAAAGTCAAAAATGATATTTTTAATTTTTAGGCGTTTTGAAAAACGGCTGCAGTATGGATGACACAACGAATATGTTAAAAGGAAATAATTTGATGCAAAATTTAAAAGCTCTTAACAAAAGCCACTAAATCAAAAAAATTAAAAATAATTGCCTAAAAATTTTATTAGAGTGAAAAGTTTTATTTTAGTGAATATAGTAATTGTAGATCAAAGTTTTATTATAGCACTTAAAAATTTTATTATAGCGCGTTGGTTTTCGCAAAGAAACGCTATATAAATCATTTTTTAATTTTAATACAAACTAACTTTGTTGCGCTTAACCGTTTATACATAAACAATGTATATATATGCTATTTGTACATATAAGCTATTTTTTTATATATATTTTTTTTAAAAAATTTTAAAAAATCCACTTATATAACGTTTTATTCAGGATCGTACGTAATATAAGTATACTTATATTACATACGATTCTAATAACTACAAGTCTTTTTTGCTTAAGCTGTTTTGTTTTTTGGTTTTTGTAGTTATGTTATTATATTTAAAAAAATTGACAAGGCTAAAAAAACACGAAATATATTGTCACTTCCAATTGGAAAATTTGAAACTTTAGATTTGCTCCTCTCCCAATAATTTCTGATTTCTAAAGTTATAGCATCTGCTTCTTAGACCTTTAAAAATGATATTATATTTATTTCAATTATTTATAAAAACTCTATCTTTTAAAGATATATGGAATATATTTTTATGGGATATATTCTAATAAAGACAAAAGGGGCCATCCATAAAAGAAGTCGTCCAAATAAGGAGAAGGGGGAGGAGTTCGAGATAAAAATGATAAAAAAGAACAAGGAGAGGGGGGAGTTTGTCAGAAAAAGACTTCACTTTATAGATTTTTTATTTTAGTTTAATTAATATGAAAAAATATGTAAATATATGTTTTTAAGAAGATAATGTATAAAAATACTTTTAAATTTATTTTTCAAAGGTGTAGCAGCAGATTTAAATGTTATTGGGAAATCAAATAATTATTTTGAGTATTTAATTTGGTTGGGGGGGAACAAAATTTTATGACGTCCTTTTCAAAGGAGTATAGGGGTGATAAAGGGGGAGGGGGTCAAAAATTGGCTAAAATCGATGACGTCCTTTACGGATTGCTCCAAAACTATTCTGATAATATTAAAACGCTATAAATAGTCGAATTGCATCACTTTCTAGCCTTTTCTATTTAAAAGTAGTATCTAGGCTTTTCTATACGCGGTTTTATATTCCACGCGGTCGTTCGAGCAAGATCTGCAAACAAATTTGAGTTGTTGATTAGAGTTGATATATTTTTATTATTATTCGCGAAGAATTGATGTTGTTTATTTATTTATCAATGTTTTATTTGTTCTTGATTATTTTTATTTGTTTTTTTTTTCTTTTTTTAGTAGAAGTTTTTAAAAAATAAAAAATGACTGGTAAAGTAGTTTTTTTAGTAGATTATATTTTTATAACAGTGTTTTTAGAACAACTATTGTTTTATTTTTCAGAACAATGCGAAGCAATAGAAGACCTATTTAGTAAGTTTAATTCATTTTATTATCTATATTTTATTTTTTGTTTGGAGAAGGATTAATGAGAATAAAATTTTTTTGACAGAGCGAAATAAGTATGTTTTATTATTTATTAACTAAATTATATTATTAGTTTCAAGTAGGAATACCATTTTTGTCTAATAGCAATTGTTTTAATTTATTGTTTAACAATTAAGTTATTAAATTAATAAATATGTTTTTATTAAAGATTATTTTTGTTTTGATTTTATTGCTTAATTTTTATTTTTTAGACTGACAGATAGATCTCAGTAAGTTTGTTATTTTTGTAGATTTGAAAGCAGTAAGCTGCTTTTTTATCTTATATTTTTTCATTGAAATAGCATTATATCATTGAATATGTTTTATATTAGGCAAATATACAACTTTTTATTTAGGTATTGTTTCAGCAACTTTTACAAATGGTGATATCTTCTATTTTATTAAACAAGAAATGAGATTTATTTGAACATTTATTGTTTAGTTGAACATTACTTATTATTTATTGTTTATTTGAACATTATCATTTATTGTTTATTTAAATATTATCATTTATTGTTTATTTAAACATTACCAAAATAGCTTTTTTTATTTAATTTTTTTTATTTAGTTGATTCTTCTGTAGCATCAACCTCCCCAGGTTAATTTATACATTTAGCTTTTAACAATAAAAATGTTTATTATTATCATGCTTGGATAAATTATCTTTATTGGTTTATTTATTTTATTTAGTTGTCATCTGCAGCATCAACCGTCCCAAGTAACAATACATTTATTTTGATTTTTTTCTTGAAAAACTAGCAATAAATATTCTTTATTGGAACATTATCTTTAGAATTTAACAAAATATATACATTTTTAAATATTTATATATTTTTCATTTAGTTGTTTTAACTGCTTCATCCGATACTTCTGGTAACTTAATAAATTTTTTTTTGATTTGTTACTTGAAAAACATTTTATTTCGATTTGTTACTTAAAAAAAGACAAGTATCAAATATTGTTTATTTGAACATTATAATCAGAACTATAATGCCTTTTTTTATTATGTTTTTTATTTAGCTGTTTCATCGGTATCATTAGTCTCTTCAGGTAACTAATTTTTTTTTTTTTTTGTTATTTTTTGCTTCGGTCAAAAATTTTCAAATCTTTATATTAGCATGTCAATATTTTTAGATATCAATAAAGTATCAAGTAAGTTATATTAGTATTCAGATATCACTTTTTGCTTTTATTAAACAACAAATTAAATAAAAATTTTTATATATTTCAGCTCTAAGGCAACAGATTGGTAAGAAAAAATATATCATACGTTTTTATCTCCCCAAAGCTTGGTAGGCTGTTACAGTTAGGGATAGTACTTTAATTGTGGTTGCAACCCTTTCGCAACTTAAAATTAAAATTTTGAAACACAAACGTAAAACAAGGCTGCTGTGCTAAGAAATAAGTTAAGTGCGGTACTACCAGGTACATTTGACCTTATAACTACTCTACTAATATGCACAATAACCATATAAAATAGTTAAATTTACCAATAAATAAAATAACGTATTGCCACCCTTAAATTGTTTTTTACATATTCGCACAGAGTTTTGAACAACTAGCTAAGCAAGTTCAACATTATTTTTTAGTGCTTTTTAGTTACTTCAATACACTTTATTGTTGTTTTTGTTATTAGAAGGGTTAATTATAACAACGTATTTTAAAAATGTTAAACTGATATTGATTTAGGTAAGTTTACAAATCAGTTATAAGTATTTAACATAAAAAATTCCAGACTGTTATACATTTACATTTCAGTATATTTTATACTTTTCTGTACTAATAGCTATATATATATATATATATATATATATATATATATATATATATATATATATATATATATATATATATATATATATATATATATATATATATATATATATATATATATATATATATATATATATATCTACAACTGTTTTATATGGTTTTAACATCTGTTTTATAACCTTTTTAGCTCATTAGGGAACGTCCATAAAATACTCGGAGGGGTAGAGTGGGTCTGCAAATGGCGATTATGGGATGGAAGGGCTGTGGGTTAATTGTATAAGAAAGGAGACACTAAGTTATAAAAAAAATCTTAAAATGTTGGTTTGGTAGGTTAGAAGTTTAAATTCACGTAAGTTAAGTAAGTCATCTAAATTATTTCAGCTAGGTTAAAAATTTGTATTCACGTAAAGCGTAACAATTACTTCAAAAATGTCGAGTAAAAGCAATTTTTTTTATTTTACCTGATCTATACAAAATATAATAAAAAGGTAAGCCAAACTCAAGGCGAAATACATTCCCGACTTTCGCTAAATATTTACTGCGTTTGTATAAATTTGGATGAGATGAATGCTGAAATAAATGTTGATATGCGTTTGCTATGAAGTAAATAGATATATTCGCTTACCGTATTTTGAAAGTTAAAGTAATAAGTATTAATAATGAAATAAATATGGGAGCCGTATACACTGATTAGTTTTTTGCATAATTTCTGATATATTTTTTAAGTTATAGTCTTTTCGGATATCCAAAACAATTTTAATACGTATAAATTTAGGTATATTTTTTGTGATGTTTGTTTTTTAAGATTTTCACTCATCATTTTTATAAAAATTAAGAAAAATTCTTTTTGTAAAAAAGAATTAAAAACAACTTAGTTGCCTAAACATTTTTTCGCAATTTTAAAATAAGACATGGATAGTTTTCTATGCATATAATTTAAGTCATAATATATTGAGTTTGTTGTGATTAGCGTAAAATGTTCGAACATTTCGAAATAAATTGGTTAATTGTATCTGTAAATGAAGCTAAGAGTTATGTAAGCTGAGAACAATAAAAGTGAGCAGAACTATAAATATACAAATTAAATTTATATTTCGTTAGAGAAAATAATTGATATTAATGATACTAATAACCCGTATTATTAAGAATTTACTTACTAACTACCCGTATTACGGGTTGCTTACTGCTAGTTTATTATATTTTGGCATACTGTTGTACGCCAAAAATATAAGCTCAAAGAATATTAAATTTTAATAGTTAAAATCATAACCGGATTAAGATTATTTGTTGCTCGGTGTTTTTTTTAAGTAACTTCCTTTTTTTGAGTGCAACAACATCTAAAGTGATTTAAGAATTTAAAAAAACGGTCTTTTTGAATATTTTATAGCCGCCGCATAAATCTACCCACCACCACATAGTACTGCCCAATATAGTCATCCACCGGGAGTAAGAATAGTTTTAAACAGCAGCATTTTGATGCCTATAAACTAAATACTGATACATCAAAATTTACAAGGGAAAAATAAGCCAAAACCGCTCACAAAAAATGTCGCCAAAAACTAAATGGTACTTACTTTAATGCAAGTTTTATTTTTTTGCATTTCACTCGGTTGCACAATATCCTGTCTAATTTATTTTAGAATATAAGTAAATTTACTAGTATAATATAAACTATTTTTAGTTTACTTTAAAAATTATATAAAATATAAGCTTATTTAATAGAATTATCTTTATATAATATATAAGCTTATCTTTATATAATTTATTTTTTAAAACAATTTTTTTTTACTTGCATAATGAAAAATGACAATTTATATGATATTATTTTATAAGTAAATTTTATTTATATTTGGTCGCCTATTAATTTTATGTAATTATTTTCATGTAAAAGTTTTTTTATATTTTTTTATATTTTTTATATTTTTACTTTTACTTGTAAAAGTAAATTACTTTTTGATTTAATCTATTTTTACATAAGTTACTTTTGAAAGTAAAAAAACTTACTTTATAAAGTAAAAGTTGTTTTATAAAAAATAATTACCTTTTTGTAAATGTGAATTCAATTTGAACGGTGACAATTACATACATAATAAACTTTTTCAAAAAAATTTATTTACTCGTGTAATAAAAAAAAAGTACGTAAAAGTGCCATCCCTACTCAAAAGTTTGTTATTAAAAATCACCAAGTGCATCAAAAGTACTCGACTTCAAAATTGTTATTAAAACTATAAAACTACTTAACTTTAACTGAATTTTCATAAGATTGTCATAACATTGGTTGAATAGAAAAATTTTAAGAAAAATGTTTTTATGCCAGTCGTGTTACAGTAGAATCCCGTTAACTCAGACTCTGAAGGGGTACAAATTTATTGTCTGACTTATATCCGAATTAAGCGAATATCCGAATTAAGCAAAGCTCTCGTTAAGTCGGACTTTTTAAAAATGTCTGACTTATTGAGATTTCGAGACTTATCGAATATTTTTTTATATAAATATTATGTACATATATATAGAACAATATAATCTTAAGTAAAATATATATTTTTGTATATATAATATATACTATAAGCAAAAAAATTCCAAAACTGATGTTTGTTTCACTGACTTGCACAATTCTTTTTCAAACAGCTTTGAAGCATTAAAGCTACCACTTCCAATTTTACCACTTTGAGTAAACATTGATAAAAATAACAAGGTTATCAATTGCTTTACGAACTTTTTTTTTTTTTTTTTTTTTACAACACAAGTATCCGTATATATTTCAATAAAACAAAATTACATATTTTTACATAAGTACAAAACGTACAATTAAACAATTTTTGTACCATTAAAATTTTTACAAGACAACTTTTACCATTAAAATTTTTACAAGACAAAATTAAAAATTCTGTTCAGCGCATGCGCGTTGTACAATGTACAAAATAAGGTAACTATTCGTTGTTTATAATATAAAGTGCTGGCTATTTAACCCATGCATTTAAAAAATATATGCAAGTCCGTCGTACCACAGGGCTACTAGGGACTTGCTTGTGGACGTTGTTGAATATATATATATAATTATTCTTAAAAAATATTTTTCTTTGTTGTAAGGAAACTCGCAGAAGACTAAAATAGTCTTTACATCGAGAACCTTTAAAACATAAAATAAACTTTAATGAACTAGTTCAACAAATACACATAAGTATTTTGGTATCTACTATATAGTAGAAGTAGTAGGGCTTTTTATTATTACTATTTTTCCCAAATTGTTTAATACATTTCGATGAAGTTGGTTAAGTTAATTATGATATGTTTAAGTTTTTTTTTCAGAGCAATAAGGTTATCTATTTTATTAAGTTCCATATTTTGAAGTATTATTTTGTTATATAAGTATGGGCCAAGGTATATTAAAGAAAATCGCGAGAATTTTGTTTTTTTTAAAGGCAAGGTGAAGGTGCCTGTTCCTCGTGTGATATATTTGTTTGCGTTGATATGAAAAAAGCTATCAGTAAAGTATTTCGGAACAAATCCGAGTTTGTATTTTAGCATGAATAAGATATTTTGGTAAATATTTATTTGATAGATGTTTAATGCATTCAAATTTTTAAGTAAAGGGTCGGCACAAGTGAATTTATCTTTATTATAAATTAATCTTGATGCATGTTTCTGATGTATGTAGAGTGAATTTAATTTTGTTTTATGGGTACTTCCCCATGTAATATTAGCGTATGTTAGGTAACTTTGAATATAAGAAAAGAAGAGAATTTTTAAGTTGTCTTGGGAAAGCATAGGTTTGGCTTTGTAGAGTACGCCGATACTTTTTGATATTTTTGTGTTTATTGTATTATTATGGGCTTTCCAATTAATATTCTGGTCAATAATTATTCCAAGAAACTTAGTTATTTCAGTTCTTTTGATGTTTATGTTATCAATTTTTAGAGAAGGTAGAGTGCCTGGTATAAAGTTTTTAAGACGGTTGGAGTGAAACAAGATATATTTTGTTTTTTCTGTATTCAAAGATAATTTATTTACTTTAAACCAGATGTTGAGGTTTTCAAGGTCAGTGTTCAGATTCGTAAAGGTCGCTTATAGACGGCGATGAGTAAAATAAATTTGTATCATCAGCGAACATTATTACATCAACTTTTTCAGCCGTTGTCTTTATCACCGTTTCATCCGACGTTTCGTTTCCTTCTTATTCTTGCATTCCTTCTTCAACTAACTCAATGATATCTTGAACAATATCTTCATTTGTCATCACTCCTCCTATAACTGAAACGTCATCATCAGTTGTTTAC